CTCCTCTTGGCGTTTGCAGAGACCTGCAGCTCCGTCAGCCCGCCGTCCCCTTGCCCGTTCCCTGCAATCCACAGCTCGAGCTGGAACCTTCCATGCTCGTCTCAGCCCTAATAACCGTCACGCGTTTGGTTTTCTTACGCTCAAAGAAGAGAATCTTTACTTTGAAACAAATTCCACGCCCCAGCCTTCCCAAGTGAAGCATTACTTTAATCGCTGCAGTTCCATTTGGTTCTTGACAAAGAAAATACTTCTCGCCCTGGTAGTATCTATAAAGGGTGAAGCCAAGTGTTAGAGCACAAGAACGTCTCCAGCACGTATCCTGAATTGCTCGTGTAGAGCCTCGTGCTTTCCATCACCGACACACGCTCATACTGACTGTTTATTGAGTATTTCCAGCACGCTGCTCGCAAGGACTCCGAAGCCTTCCCCGAAATGTAAAAGCCAATGTGACGCCCGTCAACGTGTGCACGGGACAGGCCACCCGCCCTTCCACCGACCGCACTCACTTTGGTATCGCCTGGCCGGAAAACATCACGAAACCTCTCTGCCTTGGAACTACCTTACGTCATTTTGCATTATCAGCCTGGTACATTTATAATTCCTCTTCCTTTTCATTTCACGTCTGAACGTATCGACCAGCGCAGGGCTCGGCAGCGTAAAAGCAGAAAGCTGGAACTGGTCATCCTCCCCTCATCAATATTCTGCTTTGAACTGTTACTCACTGATGACAGAACCTTTCTGTTACCCCAGGACAGTTCGTTTTCAGCAGTCTGTGATAAGGGACCTTATCTTTTTGGACTGTACTTAGGCCACATCACCGTATCCACCTGTTTCACCAACTCCACTTGTGCCCTGAAGCCCGACTCCCTTTGCAGAGGCGTTCGTGAAGCACAAAGCGGCGGCGTGAATCCTTCGAGGTGGATGCTGCAGAAGCCACATTTCCTGGCTCACAGACCCTTCTTAGGAACCGGTGTCCCTTTTGCCACCCGTTCCAAGCTTGACCAGGCCAGCAATTCCATATTTCAATGCCTTGAAACCCCCTGAGTGCGTACCAGCCGTTCCTAACCATTATTCCGCTGACTTTCCTCCAATCTGAGACAGCTGCTCAGACTATTCCCCTGTAAAGAAAGATTCGGGCTGGGCGTCTCCCGAGAAGTCTCCGAAGCCAGCACCGACACGGTGTGTTTTCTGCTGCCGCCCCATCTTCCTTCACACGTGGATCACCCACACGCCCTACGCACCCTCGGAGACGCTCGCGGTGTCGAGGGCTTGGGGGCGTTCCCGGGTTTGCCTGTCCTACCGGCTGCTCCGTCCAGCCTCAGGGATTATCCCACCCCGATATCCTTTTGCCACAGCTGGACACGACTGCCCTTTCGTAAGGACGTTCTTTTACCTGTAACGCATTATTTGTTTTCAACCAGTCTGTCTTCTACACTAGGATGTTTTTTAAATCCTTGTAATACAAGCTCTGCCTTTACCACGAGACGCCCAAACGTCTCCTGGCCAGCTGTGAGCTTTTTCCCCTTTCACAGCGCTGTTTATTTCCTAACTAGCCTCCTCATATTTACACAGTTCTATTCCTGAAAGTTAGAAAAACAAACCCCAAGCCCACAATAATACTGTTTATGTCTTTTTTGCTCCTATGAGGATGTTAAATCAGAGTACATTACGGTTACTATTACAAAATGATTTTACAAGTTACATTTCTTAGAGCCCCCAAGGGCACACAAAGACTTATTTCTCCTTTTTCTGGCTCCCTGCTCCCTGCGAAAGGCATTCGTGATTCCTAAAAATTCAGGCACCGTGCCTCCCCGTGACATAAATCCTGCTGGTGGGGGGATAACATGAAACCCGTCATTGCTGCAGCACATTCTGCTCCTGCAGCCTTTACAGCCGCCGAGTTTCAGGCAGTCAGAGCTGACGCTCCCCCCCCTCTATTTCGGCACAGTCCCCCGCGAGGTCTCAGCGCTGCAGGTACCTGCTCTCACCCCATACTCAGATCTCCAGCCCCTAAAGCTGCTCTGAGAGCAGCAGCAGTTCCTCGGCCTTTCCCAGAAGCTGCACAGTCCCAACAGGTTCGTGAGACGCCCCAGCTTGTCAGCAAGTTCGCTCTAAATAGACGTGACCGGTCGGAGCGTTCACACACCACTTGGATGGCGACGGGTCTTCACCCGGTTGCTCCTTCCCAGGCTGCCTTCGACGGGCATTCACCGCCGAGTTTTCCACTTTGCGTTTCCCCTTCTGAACTTCACCAACCTCCATCCTGCTGACGTTTCAAGAACAAAGCATCTTGACGATTCCCGTTCCAATACAGCACGCATCCCTCTGAGCCGCACGTCCTTCCAAATCTATCGGGTTTCTCCCCTGTTCCAGTTCAGAAACTTTCATAACCTTTTCTAAAGAGCCAAAAACTGGATTCCATTTGGATTTAGACAAAGTCCATTCTTCCTGCTTAGCTTTTATTTATTCCAAAAGCTTCCCCAGTTTCTAATAAGCTTAAACCCTTTTTCCCCTCTCCAGTGCCTCACCATGCTTTGAAAACACTTCCCTGCCTGGTCGACCTACACAAGCCCAGAGCTCTGTACGAGTCCAGAGGAGGCCCCAAAGTGACCCAGGGGCTGGAGCAGCTCTGCTGCGAGGACAGGCTGAGGGAGCTGGGGGTGTTCAGCTGGGGAAGAGCAGACTCCGGGGGCACCTTATCCCTGCTGCAGTGCCTGAAGGGACCTACAGGGAGGCTGGGGAGGGACTTTGGACAAGAGTGTCCAGCGACAGGACAAGGGAA